TTAGCCATAAGAAAATGTGGCTGCAAAAATTCATTATTAATCTCTGCGGTTCTTTCAGGCACGTGACGCATGAAATTAATTAATATGTTTGCCAAAAAATACTTCGTACATATGTAACTACGTTAAAAATATCGTTGTAGCAAATGCGAATGCTTAAAAATAATTGCATTTATAAAAACACCTGCGTAAAATTATAGTTTTGATTTGTTTCTGTGACGTGGAATCACCCTGCTTTTCATTTAACTGAGTTAAGCAGTTCATTATTTAAAAAAAAAAAAATCATTTTTGCACTCTAAGAATTTAAGCACTTAATACCTGTATCATTATTATTTTCATAACAGAATACCTTGTAAACATTACTCTAAAAATATGAAAATTTCCATATTTCTTCATCCTATAAATTTTGCATTCTGCGAATGAGAAGCAGGTTGAACAGCGAAAAAAGCGTTACATTTTTATATACAAAGATTATTAGTTTTTGGATATTTTATTTTAATGAAAACATCATATATACTATTCACTGCGCTGCCAATAAAAAAGAGTAAAAAAGGTAGGCAGCCATTTATTGATAAATCAAACGGCGTTTATTTTAAATATATTTTATTCATTTTAAAGTTGCGAGAAATTCTTTTACATAAACTTTCAATTAAGGCCTGCAATAGTTTTCCACTGTGACATTTTGAATATTTTTTACATTAATTTGTCTTAAAATGAAAATAAATAATATATGTAAGAATTAAACAAAAAAAAATCAAACATTTAAAGACTGCATTTTTGTTACTGAATTTTGAGTGGCATTGATTTCTAATTAAATTTCGTTTAAATTTGAATATAAATGGTCGTTTGAATTCGAAGAATCTAAACAGCGTGAATATTTTAACTATGAAAACGTGAAGATTATCCATCCCGGTAATTTAAGAATCCTTTAAATTGGATGAATGAAAACTCGAGTGAAAAAAGAAGAATTAATAAAATTTTAAACTTTAGTTCATTATTTTCTTAAAAAAAATTTAATTCTAATTTTTAAGATATTTTAAATTTAAACAAAATGTGATTTCTCTGAGAAAATTCTTATTTATGTCTCATTTTATAACATTCATTTATAATGCTAAATCTATTAATTCCGAAAATACTCAGTGAAAGAAGGAAGTAAAAAACATTATCTTTTCGGTTTGCAGAACGAATTAAGTTCACCTGTCAACAAATAAACAACCCTAGAAAATACTTATTAGGCATCGAAAGCTAAAACACAGGAAGACGTGTTTGGGTTTCGCCAATTGTCTGAATAGTTTTCGGATGATTTAAACGTGATACCATTTTGTTTCAAATTGAGATTGCTAAAATTTTATTTCGTGAATATAAGCCTAAACATATGTATGATATTTATTTTAGCGTTTCAAACAAAATTATTTTCTTTGAAAAGCATTAAAAATCCTCTATGAAAACAAGCAGATACCACTCATGAAAACTGTTAAAAATCCTCCTATATAAAAGACTTTGAGTCAAATAAATTTACTCACAAAAATTTCATACAAGTCATGTCTTCAAAAATATACTAACAATATAACAATTGAGCGAAGTAAAAAAAACGAGTAACGTTTAAACTTCGAAGTTCAATTACTTACACCGAAGAGCCATTACATTATGACCACCCTCCATCTATAACATTGGGCTCGCCCATGTTTTCTCGCCCAGGGACAATGTTTTCATGGGGCACATTAGGATCCATAATCCTCATAGAACAATCCCTGACGTCTGTAAGCTACTTGAACATAGTTGCAGACCAGGTTCACCCATTCATGGCAACAGTTTTTTCTGCGGGGGATGGTGTTTACCAACAGGATAATGCACCATGTCATAAGGGTCTAATCGTCGAGGAACATTCCAGTGACTTTCAAGTCATGTCTTGGCCCCCAAATTCACCTGACCTTAATCCAATAGAGCATTTGTGGTCTTACTTGGAAAACCAAATTCGTGCTGCCACGCTGCCCCCTCGCAATGTGAGGGAATTGCAGGACCAGTTGGTGAGCGCTTGGTACCAGATACCTCAGACTACCTATCAGCACCTTGTGGAATTAATGCCACGGCGGGTGCTAGCAGTTTTGAGGGCTAAAGGTGATCCTACATGTTATTAGCAGGATGGTCATAATGTAATGGCTCTTCGGTGTATATTCACTAAAATGTCACTTACCTGTTTTTTCCCCTTAGCTCTTCAATAGGAAAACTTGGGCAATTCTGAAAAAAAAAATAGTAATGAATTAAAAAAAAGGAAAAAAATTATCTTTGCTTCTTTTTTGTAAACTACGGTTATTTTGAATATTATTATTATTTATAATAATATTATTTTATTTATTTACTCATTTTTTGCGGAAGATTTTGGCCGGCCAAAAAAACGATTTCTTTTTGGAAATTTTAGTAATGCAATACCTTCTATTACGATGTTCATCTCGCTTTTTTTTTCCTGCTTATTATGTGATTGTGAAGGTGGTCGGTATAGCCTGGTTGGTAGGGCACTGGGCGCATGTCCAAGAGTTCGTGGGTTCGATCCCAAACCGGCCGAAGACTCCCTGTGTAGTAAATGCTGACTGATGCACGTTAAATCTGTCAAGTCGCAAAGTCCTCCATGTTCCCATGACAAATCGATACCTCTGAGGGTACTGGTTCAAGAGTTTCCTTGTCTTCTGGATTGGTTGAAAATTACAAAGCTACGGAGCTGAACATTAATACTCGTAAACCCAGAATGGTGTCTGTTGTTCAACGACGGATATGATTATGAAAAGAAAAGCATATTATTTTATTTATTTTTGGCCGGTCAAAAACATGATTTTTTTTAGAAATCTTAGTAATGCAATACCTTCTATTACGATGTTCATCTCGCTTTTCTTCTGTTTATTATATGATTATAAAAAGAAAAGCATTTGCAATCCCTGCAGATCCTTTTAGTTTCTCTTTTCTTTTTTTATGAATAAACTACCAACTTTCTATGCCATTTGAAAATTGATATCATTTAAGTAAAAAAGTTTAAATGTTACGGCTATTTTTCCCTATACCTATAAAAGTATTTTTCAGAACGAAATATTAACAACTACTGTGAATTTGCATTTTAAAAAAAGCGATATACCGGGAGTTTATGGTTCAATTTATTCAATAATAAAACAAAAAGGGGAGGTGGCGACAAGCTTCCGGGACCTTCAAAATTGTTTTGGATTAATTAATGATGACACTGGTATTAAGTGTGAAATAGATACTTCGCCCAGCAAGATCTCGTTATCATTTTTAGTCTTTTGTTTTAAACTTGATTTTATTTAAAAAAAAATATCGACTGTATCACCTGTTTTATGAGTTAAATCAAATCTCTTTTTGTTGTGAACTTATTGTACGGTTTAGTACACGTTAATGTCTCCTAATTACACTTATAAGAACTATGCTTGATGAGAGGGGGCAAACAAATTAAAGACAAAACTGTATAACACTTCTAATCGTATGTCTAAACATCTAATTGTTAATTAGCAAATTTTTTATTGTGAATTCTTAATTTGCTATAAAATTGACATAATAGATTATTTTTATTCATCGTTTTTAACTATAGGAGTTATTATGCTACGAATGAATATTCTTATCACAAATTTAAATAATCCCTTTCGAATTATCGTTTTTCAATTATGAGTTTAATGGAAGGAATGGCTCCACTGGTCTTGTCAATATAAACAGGTAGTAAATTTGCTTAGTGGCATTAATTTTGAAAGCTAGCTTCCATTAGATACCACGGATACCATTACCGAATATCAGAAAAAAGAATATTTTTGCAGCTTTATTAGCTAAGATTTTTCATTTATTTATTAAAAAATAACTTGTTGAAATACATTAAGCTTTGATATATAAAAAACATTCTGTCATTTCGAACTTTCAATTATTTTTATTCAATTCTTTACACGTATATTGGCTTTTATTATTTGCAATAAAAAGTATAGGCAGAAAACTATGAAGGAAAGAACGAATTTTAAATGAATTAAACATCCATTAATTATAGACGAAATAAACAATTTCAGAAATAAAAGATAGTTTGTTAATAAAATAAAAGTTAATGTTTACCGTTAAGAAGTAGGGTGCATCGTAAAAAACTTATTTTCAAGTTGATAAAAAGTTGTCATGGTGGTCACACATTTACAAATAAATAAATATAAAAAATTATTTAGTCAAATTGAAAAATATTTACGCTTCTCGAAATGGGTCTATAATTTTTTTTTCTGGTTGGGGGTGCCAAAAATGTACGTTTTATTTTATTAAGCATAAATATAAAAAAATTTTAGTTCTCAAGTAACAATCTAAAAAATAAATAAATTATAAATTGAACGTAAATTCATCATCAAATACGCATATTTTAATTTTCAACCACATTTACTTACAAATCTTAATTTTCATAAACAAATGCACCTACTTTAAATATTCAACCCAATCATTTGGTTAAATTATTAATTAACATCCCGAGTTCGATTGAAGTTATATAAATTCTAAGGGACCTTAATGTTTTATATTTTACATTTTACCTAAATGTTTCTTTACTACACAACCAAATTTTACATTTTTGAACCTGAAAACTTAAGCTTGTTTTAAAATCATTCGCTTAAAGAAAATTTATCTTTACGCTCCCCCCCCCCCCTCAAAAAAAAGTAAGATCATTTTGATAAATCTAAATAAAAAAAATTAATAAGTATGTGACCACAGAGACATTTATTCAGAATTACGAAAAAAAGTTTTTCGTCTTCCACTTTTTTACATAGTTAATGATTAATTCGAATCGCAAAAAAAAAAGGGAACGAAGAGCTATTAAAAAGTGTAGAAAAAATTTCGCGGCCGACGCCGCAGCTAATGAAGCAAGCTGGCCTGCTCCCTGAAGAGTGATTGGAAGCCGGGGAAGTGCAAGGGGTGGGGTAGGCGTGGTCTAGCCACACTCTACGGCACGTGCTAAGTAAACGATATAAAGGAAAAGATAGAAGAAAAGATGCTCTATTCTTTGAACTTCCCTTATGTTGGCAGTTGATCTAAAAATCGTCTGCCTTTTTTCCCACCATGGGGGTGCAACATTTATTATTATATTGATTTGTCCAACTAATAGCACTGTGTTTTCGTCTGATTATTTATAAAAATTGTTTTAAATGGATCTAGTTTTAATTTTATAAAATATGGTTTCCCCGTCTGTTTCAATGACTATTCCGAACGATTTTGCGAGTTATCCGCCTGTTATGTCACTTCCTTGGGTGCAACAACCCCCAAATCCTTATAAATTATTTACCCCACAAATAAATCCGTATCCTTCTTCGGACTTGATGGTGAGTGCAAATCGAAGGAAAAGTGCCCCGAGGAAAGGTAAACAATGTTACAAACATGTCCCCCATAAAGATAAACCTCCCCACCTTGTAGCCAGAAGAAATGCAAGAGAAAGACGAAGAGTCCAAGCAGTGAATAGTGCCTTTGCAAGATTAAGGAAATGCGTGCCTATAGAAAATCGGAATAAAAGACTGTCCAAAGTAAAAACTCTCCATAAAGCTATAGAATACATTAAAGGACTGCAAATGTTGCTTTCTGATCAATCTGACTCTTCTTTCAATTATGATACATCAAATGATGATGTTTTTGATTTAGATGAAGACGTCAAAGACGAAAGAGAGGATTCTGAAATAGCTGAATATTTAGAATCAGATAGTGTAAATAAAGAAAATAAGAATCAGAGCTGGTCATCTTTAAGCACGGTAAGTTTTTATTTAATTAATTAAGGCAGTCCCGCGGCAATTCCTGACACACTATAATAGTTTATTCAGGAATTAAAATAATAATAATATTGTATTCTGGAAAAGTACTGACTGATTAATAGAAGCTTCTTTAAGTTATTCGTTTTTATTTTATCAAAAACCTAACTGATTGAACTTTTAAAAATATTTATAATCTATGAAACCTGTTTATATTTTTGTTTTATTTGTTATATTTCTTTTTAAATCTTCGTTACTCAGACTTAGAAAAACAGTGAGTTTGCTTAAAAATCGCATCATATCGACTTATAAATTACTTTTTTCAAATTTTTATATATTTATTTATTTATTTAGTATGTTTGAAATAGTATACATAATTTTTACATCTCAGATAGTGGCACTCTTCTCAAAAAGGTTATCCACCCCTGAAGAAAGATGAGCTTTCTAAAGATATATCTTTAGTATAATCTTTTAATCACAAATTTGTTTATTTTCATTATTGTTTTGTTAATCTAATGAACTCTTCCCGGGAAGATGGTTCGAAGCGAACTAAGAACTTTAAATTCCAAATGTAGTATTCTAAGAAAATATTTCTACTTTTACAAACATCGTGTGCACATTGTTATTGATATTAAATGATAATTTTGTTTTGTTGTAAATAAATAATTGATCAATTTATATTTATTCATAAAATTAATTAATAGAATATTAAGTAAATAAAAATTTATTTCTGGCAAATTTTTTAAATAAAATATTACAAATTTAAGAATTGTTTAAGTTTACTTAATGCGTAACATGTTAAAAGTGATACATTACTAAGTTGTGTTATTTAAAATATGTCAATTGAAATTATTAAAAATGTGAGTGATTTTGTTTCCATTATTCGTCCGAAATGAATATTCTATGTTGAGTATAGGCTAAATACCAAATAATTGTAATTCTCTAATTTAGTAGCAGCAATTGTTGAGCATAATCTTGTATCTATTTACAATTTAAAAACTTCTTGAAAAGGCTTTTAGCAATTTTTGCAATAACAGGACCCTGGTAGAAAGAATGTGTGACTATATATATATATATATATATATATATGTATTCAAANATATATTGTATGGAATAAACCATTTTATTGGTTGAAACAATTATTTTTACATTACAATTTCTTAGGAAGCGTTTTTAAAAAAAATTTCAAATTTGTTTTTTTAAATTTGGTAAATTTTTAAGCAATTGCTTAGAAATGTTACTTAAAATACTTTCAAAAATGCATACATGCATTAAAATTAAATATTGAATTTTCGCGAAGGCTTATAAAATAAATGCTGTTATTTTAATTTTTTTTAATTTTGAATAATAAATTTTCAAATCCTTTCCAACTGTAATAATTGTTCTGAACTTTATTTGTGGCTAAAAATGTTTAAATTTAAAATTACTATAAAAAAATATTGTGAAAGGGACATTACGTGCTTTATTAGAATTTAAACAGATAATATTTGAATGATTGTTCAATATTTTTTGCTGAAACCTTATTTATAAGATATGTTGCATGTCTGCAGTTGATGCGGAACGATTAGGTTTTTATTCAGATTACAAACTGTTAAATATTCCCTTCTAAACGTCTTTTAATAGTTTCAATTGTATCATATTGCAAAAAAGGAATATTTTTCTAAAAGGAAAAGATTTCGTTAAATAATTGTGAGGGACAACATGTAATTTACCCTTTGTAGTCTTTCTACTTTCAGACGCATCATGTGTCTGCTCTGACTGCAGTCTTGTGTCTGCTCTGAAAATTAATTCTCACTTATTTGATAACTGAGTATAAGTTCACAAAAGATTATTTTTCACATATACAATAAAAAATGAGAATAATGAAGAAACATGAATAATATTTGATATATAGATCGGATTGGAGATATAAAAAAAAAAAACTATATTGTAATAAAAGGGACAATATTCTAATTAATTAGTTCAGACGGATTTTTTAGTCACCAGACAACAAAAACGTCTTCCTGAACATACCCCTTTTTTTATTTAATTGATTCGGGTTCTTATAATATGGGGAGGGGGTAGTGTAGGAGTCTGAAAGCAAGGCTCTCAATTTCTTAATGTTAATTTCACTTTTTGCATATTTCACGGAAAAAAAGTGGTACCATTTAAGCGTATGAAAAGAATTTGCACCCAATTGTAAAACTCCAAAGAAAATTATTTTGTGAAAATTATACAATGGAATTTATTTATATATATATATTAAAAAAAATTTTTTTTTTTTGCACATTGTTTTGTCGTTGTTTAAACCAATTTTACAACTGTGTCTCAACATTAGAGTGACAAGAAGTCTTTCCATCAAAAAAAGGCATTTATAGAAAGTAAGTTTTCTACTCTGTTTGAATTTGTTTCCACATCTTAAGAATTTAAGACCAAATTACTGTAAAAAGTACCGGCATTCAGGATGCTTTTTACCATCCATTTTTACCGAAACATGTTGCGGAACAAAAAACTTGATATACAAATATTTTACGGTAAGAATGGATTTTACGGATGATCCATCCAAAGGACTTGTTACCGCAATTAAATCCGGAATGTTTTTCAGTGCAAAGCTTTCCAGTTTCACCAGCTAAATTAATAAATGTTTTTTATTAAATTAATTTTTTCGAGCTTTCACAAAATGGAGCTCGATAATAACATAATTCATATACCATTTAAATACTTTTTTAAAAAAATGTATTTCTATTTAATTTTTAAAACACAAAGACAATCAGATTCAAAATTTTATAAATAACATGAAACAAATTCTTTATTTGAAATCAAAAAGATTTTGCTAGAATTTCCCAACTGCTATTACGTATTTTATTTTATTTATTTTTAAAATATTGTTCATATGCAGCTTTGAATAATTATGAAAATTTGTTTATTTCCCTTTTCGTAATAATTTTTCCACTTTGTCAGATATTTAACGTGTTTAACATTATAAAGTTTCTTACGTTTTTAATTTTTGCCATGTTACGTAACGTGTCATAAAAATGAAGGATATTAAATGACTATCATGGTGACAAATGAATTATCGTTACGTGACATGTTTTTTAATGAGAAACCTGTTGATGTCCGAACTTCAGTTGATGCTTCTTGTTTATCAGATTTATTTGTGCTTATCAATTTTTGACACACTTAGATTTTATTTTCAGTTCAAAATGTTCTTAATTTTCAGTGATTCTGAAAGTGAAGCTTATATTTTTTTGTCATATATGTCGCTTTTATAGTTCAATACATATTATATGAAGCTCTAGTTTGTTTTATAGAGGGAAAAAAACATCACATTTTAATAACTTTTGTTCTAATGACTGGATCAGAATGTCATTATTATTAAATCAGTCTTTTCCCCTTTAAAGCAGATTCTTTCGAAATTGAATTATTGAATATGTATTGGGCATTAAAGATTTTAATTGCTTTCAACTACATATTGACATCATTTTTTGATGATGTAAACATGTTGCTAAATGACACTTTTTATCGCTAAAGGGTAAGCATTTGAAATTGAAAATTATTTCATGTTTAATGTAGTACTTATTGGGTTATAACATTTTTACTAAACAGTAATGAAATATGAATGCATTACTTACATTTATTCTGGTTCACTGTATTAGTCATATCTTGTAATTTTGATTTTTATTCTTCATCAGTTTCTTCCAGATTTTCACATTTTTTCTTCTATTTTAATATCGTGTCTTATTGAATTCTTCTCAATTTTTAATCGTCCCGCGATAATTAATGCCTTCCTTTATTATTAAGTTTTTAATTTCGGTTCGTTTAAAAACAAAAAATAAAGTTTGTAATCAAATGTTAATCCACAAGAATGATAAAGTTCTACTAAGTCACTTAAATACTGTTCCAATATATAGAATACATTAAATAATCTTAATAAAAATCATTCTTTTTTTTATCGTCTGCTATAAAACATATGTCGAAAAAAAGTTATAAATATTAAACTCGTGAAAATAGTTATCAAATAATTTTGAGATAGATATCAAATCATGATGTGTAGTTTTCAAACATATTAATATAATTTTTGAATTGAAAGGAAGAAATGTAGCTAAAAAAAGAAATTTCATCAATGTTTTCGACAGAAACTTTAGTAACACTTTTTATTCCACTTTTATTCCACTTTTTAGTAACACTTTTTTAGTAACACTTTTTATTAGTAACACTTTTACTTTCCTTTTTGCTTTTATTAATGCGCTTTTTTAATGTTTTTAATACAATATAAATTTAATGGCGTTTATTTACGTTGTTTCTAAATAAATTCTTCATAAGTTTTTAGCAATAGAATCTGCATTTGTTTGTTTTCTGCTTTTTTAACAGGATTGCTTGCAAGTGTAAATAATATTTATTGCGAACTATTTTGTAGTGGCGGAACATAAGAAATCAAATTTAAGTCAATCATATGATAATATCATATAAATGAATCATATAAAAACTTAATACCTTGTTTTATACTTACATTTCAAATATAATTGTTTAATCTTGTTACTTTGCATTCTAAATATTAAATTTCGAGCTGAGCTTGGAAACTATTATTTTTTAACTTTATCTTTTTATAAAAATAAAAAATTAAATTTTTCCCCAGAATATGAAACTTTAGGCTCATTCCGGTAAACCTAAACATCTTTTTTTTTTTTTTTTTTTTAAATTTTNTTTTTTTTTTTTTTTTTTTTTTTTTTTTTTTTTTTTTTTTTTTTTTTTTGAAATGTTGAGGCCACAGTTACAACTTTATATCTACTTGAAATTCTGAGTTTCGAAAAAAAGTTTTTCGTGATTAGTGCGCAACACTAGCTTGATTTTACTTAAAAAATGAGAAAAAAGGAAATACTAAATATAATAGGATATGTGCCATTACTTTTCAAAACCGATCTTTAGAAAAGAACATCTCTTTTCTCACGAACCGAAAACTGTTTAAGGGACTTCACTTGTTTATGAATCGAATTTTCAAAATTATTCGTAATCACCACTAAATG